CCTTCGGGCCGCAGCATCGCGGCCCGCGGTCCCTGCTGCCGCCCCGAGGTCTTCCCGCCGTCGCCCCGACCCGCCTGCCGCCGCTGCGTCGCCCCTTCGGGCCATAGCGCCGCGCCGCGTCCCGCGGTCCACTCCGCCGGCACCGCAAGTCGACTTTCCGTGGTATGCGCCGCGCCGTCTCCCTTGGCGCGGGAACGCCACCGTCCTTGCCGGTCTTCGTCATGCTGTCAGGGTTCTTCGCCTACTTCGAGCACCGCCGCCGCACTCCTAACCTAGCCGCCGCCGCCGCCTTCAGGCCGCCGCTGCCGCTCTTCTTTGGCCGCCGCCGCCGCTACCTTCGTAGCCACTGCCGCCGCCCGTCCACCCCCCTTCGTCTTCGTCCAGCACCAGCTCGTCGCCAGTGTCGCCGTCATCTACCCCGACCGCTTCATCTACTCCGATAACCGCGGGCGACATTGGCCGCGCGCCGATTGGCGCCGCAACCGTCGTCGAGTTCTTCTCTGCTGGCCCCTCCGACTTCTCCGACATGGCGTGCAACTCGTGCAGGTCCCTCGTCTATGCATGCCCGGTGCTGGCAACACCGATGCGTGCCTTCATCCACGACGTGTCCCCGGGCCTGGCAAGCCTGGACGGCGCTTCGTCAACTTCGTCATCGTCCGTCTACGCATGCCCGGTGCTGGCAACACCGGTGCGTGCCTTCGTCCACGATGTGTCCCCGGGCTTGGAAAACCCGCCGCGACACGTCGTCAACAACATCTTCTTTCCGGCGCACCACTACTTCGATATCACTGCGCCTATGACTAACACGGCGCCTCCTTGCGCCCGCGGCTCCACGGCGACTTCCTCGACACCGGCTACCCCGACTCGACATCGACCACGGCATTCTTCGCACGGCTACCTCGACCACGGCTCCACCACCTACGCTCTCGGCTACTACATCGACAAACGGCACATGGCTACCGCCTGCTTGAGCAACCTCGTCGGTTTTCACTCCAGCCACGACTCCGCGATGCGTCGACCGTTCCGACTGTGGGGGGTGTCTGTCGGCTTGCCTTTGGATTCTTCTCCAGTCTCACCGTCTGCGTCGCTAGCGTTGTGACTGCGGGGGGATGTTGAGTAACGTGATTGTATTAGGAAAGACGAGATAGACTAGGATTTATTCCGGCTTGTCTTGTACTCCAAGTTGGTCATTGTACTCCTATATATATGCCCACGAGGCTCAAGCAATACAACAAGAACTATTCCACCAAATCCTCTCTCTCCCTTCTAACAGTGATTATTGCCAACTAGCAGTATGTATGTCCAAGCTGCAGGAGGGAAAGATGAGATGTGGATGTTTACGTGCATGGCATCGCCTGCAGCTCTCTAGTTGGTCAATTGGAGAACCCACCTATCTAGCTTCTATAGAGCTCCTTGCTCTCTGGTCCATGTTATATTATTGCCTAAAACAAAGTCGGTATGAAAGGTTATATTCTTGTAAGCGCTTTGGCTATTTCCTACTAGTATAGCTTCCTAGTAGTGACCAAACTGCATGCAGTACTGCTGGTCCAGTCCAATATATATGATGATACCAACAAGTCGTCAATGATGTACGTACATCCATGGGTCATGGTGTAGGCGTACGTTCAACCTCAAAAGCATGTAGCTTCCCTTTTTGTTTGTTTGATTGAAAGGTCTCTCCTCTCCAACCTTAGTTAGTTGTACGTCCTATTCCAGTTCTGAAATGTATGTCTTCATGGGATGAGTGGTCAAGCTTTTGGAAGTTTGACTACTAAGATCTGCCGAATCGCATCGATAAATCCTTTCTTTGAAAATAATATCGCATTAGACTCGTCCTGCAAAATCCTTATGTGCTACGCAATTTTTGTTGCTTATCAAAACGTACCGCAGCAGTCGGAGATTGTAGCCAAGTCTTACATTTTGAGGACATACATGAAAAAGTCAGAAACAACATTTCTAAATACAGGGAAACAAGAGTACATGTGCTTCATCAATTCATGCTCTTCTCAAAACATAGAGTACAGCTGATATGTATGTACACATATAGATCTGTATCAGGTTTGATGGATACATGTAAACCAAAGATAGCAGCGAGTACATGCATGGAAACCCATGAGCATGCACTCACACTTACACATATGTGCAGTGACTTTGTTGGACATGCTAGAAGTTTGTTAGTCTTGGTTCTTGGGGGTACTTGTCTCCCCCTCTCGTTTTCGCACCTACTGGCTAGCTGGAGACCGCAGAAAGCTACAGGCCAAAATGCAAGTTAGGAACCCAAGACTTTGGACAGTACTTAACTTTAATCACTAGCCTCTTAGCCGTGCCTCCTTTTTTCTCAAGGAATTATTGTCCCCTCTCTTCTCCTTGGCTAGCACTAGAGGCTAGTGTCAGTGATCTACCAGCACGGCAGCACGTACTGGTTAGTTTTCCTTTTTCCCTTTTCCGATGGACAGGAGCCGGCAGTACTGGCCAGTACTGTAAAGTTTTTGGGCGGTTATTACAACTGCATCTTTCACCTTCTCCAGATCGATCTATCTGCTATCTATCTATCTGCCCTTGCAGATGTATATATGCTTCCTTCCAAGGGCCAGCCACCCACATAAATATGAGTGAGATCATCCCCCTTGCTATATCGTCTCGCACACGCCAGCTTAAATTCCCATATGCATCTTGACAAACCTTTCTAGATAGATAGACAGATAGAATTGAGCCGTGACCTCACTCTTAATTTGGCCCCTCTCTCTTTCTCCACACGACTGATCACTGCGATATCACCACTGACGAGATGGCACCAAGGTCCTCGTCAACTCGCTACTAGATCGTCCGAGGCAGGCACGGCCGGCCGTCAATTGATCTCCCATGGAGGCGAGCAAGGGAAGCGATGGGAGCTCGGGCGCCTCGGCGAGCAACGATGACAGCACGGTGGAGGAGGAAGGAGCGGGCCGTGAATCGCACGAGGACGCCTGCAGGGGGAACTCTTTGTCGTCCTCGTCGGTGCGCCCCTACGTTCGCTCCAAGAACCCGCGCCTCCGCTGGACGCCGGAGCTCCACCACTGCTTCGTCCGTGCCATTCATAGGCTCGGCGGCCAAGATCGTAAGGCTCAATTCAGTTTCCATCATCTTATATTATTCCTTAGCTAACCAAACCCCTCGTCCATGTTAACTCCATGTTTTGTGGGTGTATATATATAGGTGCAACTCCGAAGCTCGTTCTTCAGTTGATGAACGTCAGAGGGCTTAGCATAGGCCATGTCAAGAGCCACCTCCAGGTTTACGTTAATCAATTGTTAAAACATCCATGTGCAACTTAGGTTTTCTTTCTTTTATGATGATCTTTCCCTGCCTGCTTTGTTTACTAATTAATTAGCATATGTGTCCTCTTGCATGATGTCGTAAATTCAACCATCTTCAGATGTATAGGAGTAAGAAGATTGATGACTCAGGCCAGGGTATGTTGTGGGTGTAAAAATGAATGATTTTTCTTTCCTTGCTTTGGTGTTTTTCTGATCGATCTGATAAAGTTTGTTTTTGCAGTCATAGGTCATCTCCCCTTGCCCCATGCCTTCCATCATCGCCAGAGTGGTGCGGGCACCATGTCGTCAAGGTAGTTGGATCCATTAATTTGGTCTATACACCTTCAATCTGTTGCGTGGCTAGCAAATCATTCAAGTAAGCAGTCCTTAGCTAGCATGTCGATCCGGCTGATCTCCTTGGTAATTATGAACTAGGTTTGGTGCTGCTGCATGGCCTCCATGGAGAAGCTTCCATGAACCATACTGGGCCCATGGTCGCCCCTTCCTTGGATCGAGGACCTACAACTCTTTAGAAGCTGAAACCGAGGCGGCTTTCCTTCGGTCCCGAGCTCAACATGTAGCTCGAGCTGCATCTAGCAATCCAGGATTGATGATGCAATCAGGCTGTGCATCTCTGAACGATCATCATACCATGAACCACCAGCATAAACGACTGCTGCAACCGACAGCGCGTAATGACGACGATACCCATGTTCCTCTTGATCTTGATCTCGATCTCGATCTCTCGCTCGGTCTCCCCGTGCCGAGGAAGGAGGCGAAGTGGAAGAGATCGGGCTGCGGCTGGGTGAAAGAAGGCCCTGATGAGAATGGAGCCGATGAAGAACAAGTGGATGAGATCAGCACTGCCACTATGCTATCTCTGTCCTTGTTCTCTCCTGGGGATGCTCCTCGGATGATGAGTAGTACTAGTGCTAGTGATCGTGCAGTAAATGTCAGTGTGGATATTAAGAGAGGAGGGAAAGATGAGCATGCTACAAGGAGGGCAAGTACTCTTGATCTCACCATATGATCAGTATGTAATGTGGTGATATCTCGTGGTACTTGTCCATACATCCATATATGTTATATTATGTAGAGCGAACATATATATACCTATGTTTTACCATACATACTATGTTATCTTCTAATTAATGTTCGTTGGTTTATAGCTGCATCTAAATTAATGAAGATATGCCCTGCTATACTAGGACGTATATGGTCTTGACCCTCAGAAAGAGTCGTATGTTATTACGACGCTGGCTTTTCGGAAGAATTGTTTTTCCATTTTAGATCTAACAGTTAGTTTGAAAAGTTATTTTTTATGGTAAACAAAACCATCCTAACTTAGGGCAACCCAGGAGGATCCAACCATCATTCTTGAGGCGGTTGTATCACATGATCTGCGGATCTTGCATTCATACTTTGGGATGCGTGGCTCGCACGGTGACCTCATTGTCCTCCGGAGATCTCATCTATTTGCAAAGGTTGTAAGAAAATACAGAACCTTGGAATTATATGTTGTATTGATCTGACCCTTGTAGGGGTATACATAGAGTACATGAGGGATAGAGGCTTGAAGTATTAGACAAGTCATATTTTGTTTAAGCTATTCTATCTTTGCCTCCTTATCTCTATCTTAAACAGAGTTATACTTCTAACATTTCCCCTTAGTCGTAGCAGGAGTAAAGTGGACGATTGCAACTGAATTTGAAGTCTTGCGCTTTTGTCGTCTTCTCTGCTGCGTCATCATTAACTGTGTCTATGATGGGTCGGCACCTAGGGCGGTGACTACGTCCCTCCTAGTGCCTTCCTTGTCTCTCCTCTATTCCCTCCCGAAGTCACAGCGGGAGTTGAGTGGATGCTAGTGACAATGCAGACTGGAGTTTTTGCCAATGAGTAGCTGTAGACGTGGTTCTGTATGTCGATGTCGAGGTAGCTGGTCCTAGTGATGTAGCTGTGGTCGAAGTAGTTGTGGTCAATGATGTAGTCATCGTGGATGAAGCCACACAAAGCCAGAGGCGCAAAAAAGCGCTATGTTGTAGATGACGGAGCTGTAGTCATGAACGATGCACCTTGTGGATGTCAGAGGGTGCCGTCAGCGATGAGTCCATCTCGAGCACACATCAATTTTGCAAGAACCGTGTGGCCATGTACGGATCGTCACAGTAGTGATGCCATGTCGATGCAGTCATGCGTAGCTGACACGATCATTGCTGTCGTCGAGGTCGCGTCTTGCAGATGTACTGTCGGAGGACGCTGGAGATGTCCATCTCGTGGACGGGGCGGCGGTGGTGTGTTGTGAAGATGTTGATGAAGACCACTTGATGAAGACCTTGTCAATGAAGTATCGGTGTTGGCATTGCGGCGGCGTGTCGATAATGATGCATCGCTTGAAGGCGTCCGTATGTGGCAACGACGTGTCGATGCCGTGTTGTGCCGAAGAAGTATGTTGGCTCGTAGCCTGGCATAGTCATACAGCTCGATGAAGTGGCATTGGGTTGGCACCTAGGGCGCTAACACGTCCCTTCTAGTGCCTTGCTTGTCTCTCCTCTATTAAGCTTGCTGCTGGTGGAGCTTCACCTTGCAACTATGTTGTAAATTGGCATGACTATCACATGGGCTGCTGCACCTACATTGTCGGTGGACTCTATCCGCCATGAGTCACATTTCTGAAGACAATATAACGTCCACAAGGCAACAAGAGATCTCACTTTGTGGCGTGCCAAGAATCCGTGAGGAAGTATGTTGAGAGAGCTTTTGTTGTGCTTCAAAAACTCTATGTGATTGTCCATGACCCTGCTGAGTATTTGAAGCCTTAGAGATTATCAAAGATCATGCCAACATGTGTTATCTTGCAAAACATGATCATTGAGGATGAGAGCGAGAGGACCCGGAGAACTTGTGGTTCATCTACAATGGTGGCCTGGTTGAGCCGTAACATCACTGAAAAATGATCTAAGCATTCCTCGAAGCACATTATGGATCGAGAGCCAATAAACTCACAACCAACTCTAAGATGATCTTGTTGAGTACTATTGCAACTTTATAGCACCTGATTCTTGTACTTTTATCATGTTTTATTCGGATTAGTTCATTCGGACAGTATGGCGTGTTGGAATTTGAAAACATTGGATTTGATATGTATTTGAATTGTGTGTATTTGAAATCTCAAGTTTCGAATTAATATGATGTGAAAATATATGTTCAAATGGAGTTTGTATGCAAACGTTTAGAAAAAAAACAAGAAAAGTTTTTTTTAGAGGATCACATTTTAGGGCTAAATGCAAAAAAGTTTAATTTCTCAATTTTTAGGGGATTAAAGGATAGGGGAAATTTATACATGACCTGTTTTTTCCGAGACCATACTTATATATGACCTTTTTTTGTGGGGCTCATGTATCACCTTGATAGCACAGTATGCCATGTTTACTTTCAGATGGAGCACAGTACGCAGTCAAATTTACTACAGTATGCATGTTTGACAAACAATATTTATTACACCTTTTCTACAGAACATGACGCTGAAGTTCAAGATATGAAATTATTTACAAGTCCGGCCACATGAAACTAATTAGCACAGTTAGGTACAGAACTGACTATGCGCAGTCCGTGCGAACTTCTTGCCAGCTTTTTCATGCTTCTCATCCATGGAGAAGTTTTTCATGCTTGACGGTTTGGATTCAACGCTAAACGCCTGATTCGGTTCGGTGACAATTTCTTTCTTTTCGTTCAGTTCTCGGAGAAAATGGAGGCATTTGTTTTGTCATGTTGACACCCAACTTAAGGTACCGTCAATCATTTTGTTCTCGTTAGGCAGGTTTTAAAATGTAATTTGTATTCCCTTCATTTACATCTGATTTTTTTTGAAAGATCCAGGAATTCCTGGCGTTCCATTGATTTAGCAGAGAGCATTG